GTATTTGCTCACCCCCTTAATCACTTTCACATTTTGCAGTAGTTGTAACAAGGCATTAGATGGATTTTATGGGGATTAGTGTTAAAAATTTTATGGGGATTAGAGTTAAAAAAATTTGTTTTGCATAACATATCTAACATTTTGAAGCTGAATATTATTTTGCTTGAGATACACAGGTTAATAAAGAAACACATTATTGATCGCATAAGTATTCACCGCCCAGAGTCAATACTTCATAGAACCACATTAAGCTGAAATGACATCTCTACCAGCTTTGATCCCCTGGATCCTGCAATACTAGCCCATTACAACTGGCAAGATTGCTCTGTCAAGTTATGGGCTCCTTCAGGTTGGGTGGGAACTGATCATGAACAGCAATGTTCAAGTCTTTCCATATATTTCTGGTCACAATAACAATATGATTATTTGGATATCATGAATCAAACCAGGGCAAGCTAAGCTGGGTGCACAGGTAACTGATAAGAATAAGCCAGAAAAGTGAGCATCTACTGGGCGCATTATAAAGTGTTTCTGCCAATAGCAACTACCCTGCCTCTCGAAATTCTCACTGGATGAAGCATATAGCTCATTTTTTTCATGACTCAAAAACCTTACAGGTTGGAATAAAGCCTACTTTTTCTGTGTGTGATTCGTATGTCAGACAGGGTTTTGCCGATGCCTGCTAATCACTGCTCTGATGGTTTTGAGGAATCACAACGACCTTAGAGTAAGACCACAGTGCACTACAGGTATTTTAACACAATGTAAGTTCTCTTTTTCTGTTAATTAACCTCCATGTCACATCCCATTTATTAAGAGATCCATCCTGTCAATTGAGTCCACCTCATATTCCATTTATTTATAACTACAAACTGGTCACATATCTCCTGCCTCCCCTCACATTAATAAATCAAAAATGTATGGCAAACAGTGCAAACATATAAGACAGGGCTCACTTGTACAAACCACCAAATTTATTTGAAGGACAAAATGACAAATGTTTCATAAGATAAACTTCCTTTCTTAATGTAGCATGCCTCCCATCTATTTACACCGACTCCTTTTCTAAATGTAATCTTATAGCATAAACTCATCCACTCTGTCACATACCGGTCACCTGTCATCCAACCTGTCATATTTAAATACCACCATCTGGTTACATAATACCATTCAGAAACCCTACTTGTCTTATTTTTATACTCACCTATTCATATACCCTCACCTTCCAGTCATTCACAACCACCAATCCGTCCTGCTAATTTTATATAAACCTTATAGTCACCTATTATGTAATCTATCCAACACACACACTCACATAGTGTCATTCAGCCACATAACTACCCTGTCACCCTCCTATCCCATCACAGAGTCACCCATTTAATCACAAACCAAAACCTAGTTACATTCACCCATCCAGTTACACACCCAGTCCCATACTCACACCAATCAACCCAACTGCACACTCCTATTCACCCAATCACATAACAAGTAACCTACTACTTATAAATTATCGAGTCGCATACATAAATAACACAAAGGCTCACATTTACAGAATACAAATGGAGTAACAAAATTTACATGGAGGGTTGGTTTTTACTAATTGTATTGACAAATTATTGGTGCACACTTAAGGCCACAATAGTGAAACTTTAACTTTTTTGAGAATCTTCCCAAATCAACACTTTTTGGCTAAAATTTAAGATTTGGATATCAACTGCGATTCCAGGTTTTATGAATAACCTTCGCTCTGTTTAACATGCACATAACATACAATTGCAGTCACACACAATGTAGAGGGACAGAGACATGTCAAAGGGAGAGCAATGGGAAAGGGTTGTGTCATAAAAAAATGGATGTGCACAGTTGTCAGGGAGGCAGTTGCCTTTATAGAATATTTTCATCTGCATAGCATCTTGAACTATTCTTACCCATCATCTCCTCAACAGAGAACTTATACCATCACAATAGTGTTACAACTATTTATTGACTTCTTCTTGGAGTGACTGGATAATTTACATAAGGATCAGAAAAAGCAGAAGGCTCTCTAACTCAGTGGTCTTCAACCGCTGGTCCCAAGAATTTATTGGCGACTATACCATGGGGTGAAAGCTTTCGTGGACCGGCAGTAAATTCCAGCAAATTATATTCCCGGTGCTATGATGATATGATCATAGCACTGGGAACTGTGCTTCCCTCTCCCCCCTTCTGGCTCTGCAGGACCAGAGAGGAGATTAGAGATCTCCCTCACCGGCCTGCTAGCACTGTAATGCTGGAAGCCGGCAGGAGAGGGAGGGAGAGTGGACCCGGGAAGCTTTAATCTGCAGCTCCGCCAGGTTTCTTCTCTTGCGGGCTCGGAGAGTTGCCATGGTTACCACGACAACACTCGGAATCCCGCGTGAGTAAACTCTAGCAGCTCCTGAGGCTGCTAGAGTTCACTCTCATCACTAGGACCACCAGGGCTTCTTCACCGGGCCACCAGGGATTGCAGGAAATGTCCCCCCTCCCAGGCAAAGGTAAGCAGGGAGGGGGATATCAAAATTATTATTTTTATTAATTAAAAAAAAGTCCATTTATTAATCTACCCTCTATCCCCACAGATTCACAATAATTCTACCCCATACACACACACACACACACTGCCCACCCACACACACACACACTGCCCCCATACACACACATTGTACCCCTCACACACACTGCACCATACACACATACTGCACCCCTCACACACACACACACACACTGCATCCCTCACACATACCATGGATTTTTATTCCTGGCTGATGCAGGTCCGCAAAATATTTCTCCTCTTTTTACCAGGCCGCAGGTGTTAGAAGGTTGCAGAATACTGCTCTAACTAACACACCACTGCTTTATTGCCACCAAATTCCAAGATGGTGCCTATTAGCTACTCTCCTTTTCCTAATTTTCTAAATACTTTCATTGGTCCCTATGCTTATCTTAAGTCTAGGATAGCCTTATGCCTATCCCACGCATGCTTAAACTCCCTCACTGTGTTGACCTCTACCACTTCAGCTGGAAGGCTATTCCATGAGTCCACTACCCTCTCTGTAAATTAATACTTCCTAAAATTATTTTAAAACCTTTTCCCCTCTAATTTAAGACTATGTCCTCTTGTTGTGGTAGTTTTTCTTCTTTTAAATATAGTCTCTTCCTTTCCTGTGGTGATTCCCTTTATGTATTTAAATGTTTCTATCATAAGCCCCCCTGTCTCATGTTTCCTCCATACTATACATATTAAAATCCTTTAACCTTTTCTGGTAAATTGTATCCTGCAATCCATGATCCAGTTTAGTAGCTTTCTCTGAACTCTTTCCAAAGTATCAATATCCTTCTGGAGATATGGTCTCCAGTACTGCGTACAATACTCCAAGTGAGATCTCACCAGTGTTATGTACAATGGCATGAGCACTTCCCTCTTTCTACTGCTAATACCTCTCCCTATATGACCAGGCATTCTGCTAGCATTTCCTGCTGCTTTATTACATTGTCTGCCTACCTTTAAGTCATCTGAGATAATTACTCCTATATCCCTTTCTTTAGATGTTGATGTTAGTAATGTATCTAATATTCTATACTCTGCCCTTGGGTTTTTACGCCCAAGATGCATTATCTTGCACTTATCCACATTAACTGTTAGTTGCCAGAACTCTGACCATTTTTCTAGTTAACCTAAATCATTTGGCTTATCCCTCCTTGCAAACCCTGTTGCAAATCTTTGTATCATCAGCAAAAAGGCATACCGGGACACACCTAGGACATACCTTATCATCAAGACCTTCTGCAGTATCACTAATAAAAATATTAAAGAGAATGGGTCCTGTGAGCTAACTTTTTAAACTTGATGGATGTATGCCACTTTTCGTTATGTAACTATGTAAAATAAGTGAAGTGTACATGGATTAAAAAATATTGCTCCTAGGATTTATTGATCTTTGGTTTATCCCTGGCATAGTCTGCTTAAAACTCATTTTAATACTTTTAAGCCACTTAGTGAAAGTAATGGTAGTTAAGGGGTTAATATGGCACTAAATTGCTATTCAAACGAATATAATGCCATCGCTAAATTATTGTGTATGAGCTAATCTCAAGGATGCTTGTAGTCTGAAAATGGAGAAAGTGCAGAATCATATAATAGTAGTTAGGTATAAAAGCAAATGTTGGAAAGGGTTCTAAAATAAATCAATTTCCATGGAAACCAATAAATTGGGGGTGGATTATCTTAGGAATGTAAGGGCTTACTCTGCTTGCTGAATAACTATTTCACCATAGACCTTAATAGAGGAAATGTTTATCAAAATGGAACTGTCAGCATCTAGTGAATGTAAGCCTCTTGCATGAGCCCCACTTAAGCCAGTCCATGCAGAGAGAGTTACTGAAGTGTTCCTACATGATCCTAGTGCCCTCAGCACATCCACATCTAATGAGTTGCTTATGCTGTGCTGACTGGGGACTACTCCAATCCAGGAGTATGGGACAGAAGTCTGAAACTGGGATGGTTCCACCAGCTAAGAGATAGTTGAAGGGTAAGCTTGTGACCAACGTCCCCCTTTTCCTGCTGCAGATTGTCTATATGTATTGCATATGTGGTTATCATGTTTTAAATTGTTCTCCTTGGCACATTAAACAATTGTGTAGTTTTTATGATGAATGCACTTTCATGCAAGTACTTACTATTTGATTGTTTTGCTTATAAAACTTATATATCAAACTGCTAATGATCAAACATGTGTGAAGGTGGTGGGGACTGCGTTGATAAACATACCCATATACTAGCTTACCTTAATAAACAGATGCAAGACATTGATGGGGACAAACAGGCCACAGCTTTATTAATATCAACAAATATAAAATACATTACTTATTAATAGTGATGTCCCGAACGGTTCGCCGAACGGTTCGCCAAGGACTCATCATTGAGTAAACTTTGACCCTGTACCTCACAGTCAGCAGACACATTCCAGCCAATCAGCAGCAGACCCTCCCTCCCAGACCCTCCCACCTCCTGGACAGCTTCACAATGAATGTAAAATGCTGTCCAGGAGGTGGGAGGGTCTGGGAGGGAGGGTCTGCTGCTGATTGGCTGGAATGTGTCTGCTGACTGTGAGGTACAGGGTCAAAGTTTACTCAATAATGAGTCCGTGGCGAACCGTTTGTAGCGAACAGTTCGCGAACCGTTCGGCGAACTGTTCGGGACATCACTACTTATTAACCATACACTAACATAATGTAAACAATAACATTCCAAGTTCCACACCCTTGTCACCCATTCCTGCTGATCCTTGTCACTTGCCTTCCCCCCTCGTCCTATGCACCAAACCGACCTCACAACTGACCTAACCTTAACTCTGTGCCTGCCTCTGGCTCAGTGGGCATGTACCTTACCCATAAATATAACCGAGTTTAGGGGAGGGATCAGCCGATCATCTTTTTCACTGTACCGCTGGTTGACAAGGGACCTTTTCTGTTGAACGCTGTGAGAAGAAACAAACGTTAGAAACAAACACCAACCATAAACCATAACACAAAGGTAGGGAGGGTGAGAAGCTTTTCAAAGCTGTGATTATTAAGGTGGCTGAGCCCCTTACAAAAAATGGCCACCTATATAAATGATAACCACCCCTTACCCAGGGCTCTACCCCCCTATGCACAGACAAGACCTCCCCTGCCCTTATTTTACACTCTCCTCACTCACACATGTCCGTTTTCCTGGCTAGCCTTTGGCCTGCCTTCTCAGGGTCCTTTTTTTATTGTAACATAATGCTAACTGGCAAACAACCTAATATGACTCACCGTTACAGCTGCGTTTGCAATTGGTGCCTCCATTAACCATCCACTGCTGTATGAGAGAAAGACAGAAAGACACTTTCCATGAACCAAACTATATCCTCTAAATCCCAGAGTAAGGGATAATGAATCATGATTATCATTGTAACTTCAATATTATCCTCATTAAAATAAAAGACACTATAAGCTATACAAGAAATCTACTCTCTTATAAACCTACCATATAAATCATTTCATGCAAGCGTGTGGTATCTAGAAAAGAACAGAGATTTTCTTGTCAATACACTAGCATAAAATGTGCCTAAGGATAGATTAAGCCAAACCCAGTTGTTATCTACAAATAAAGTAGAATGTCACGTCTAGGACTAACTGAAGATTTACAAAGTCTTTCAACTTTATTTTTAAATTCTCTTAGATCAAAAAATGGAAAAGCAGTGTTCCCACAGAATAACACAAAAAAAGTAAATTTAAACCTTCGTATAGTACATTATTTTCATAATCATCTATATTATTATTATTTTATTTTTTATATAGCGCCATCAGATTCCGTATTGCTGGACAATGATATTAACTAGGTGATTGAGAGTATTATAATTGTAGAAGATTACAGGAAAGGTAATAGTTTCTCGTCTGATTAAGTAGATTAAAAGATTACGTTTTATTATAGTTTCTGTGTGTATTATTTTGTTAACACCTTTTTTTAATGCATCTACTATTGCCTTATCTTTGCTCTGTAGGGACAGCCATCTTCAAGGCCTCTCTGGTCAGATGCACTGCTTATCTGACAACAAACTGTGCAAGTAATGGAGAAATAGTATGTGTTCATCCCTTACTCCTCTGATTTTTTTCTGTCATTCCATTTGTGGTTTTTGTGTTAAGTACACTTTTGTTGCATAAGGCTTTTATGGGGAACTCCTGCCTATATAAAAAAAAAAGAGAGTGCATCAGTAGTTTCCCTAGCTAAGTGCCCTGCTGAGTTTCCGATCATCCTGATTGCTTGGAGTTCTACTGTAAATCCCCATGCTTCCTCCCAGGTTCATGCTTGCCATTGATGGGGGCAGTTGTACAACCCATATTTAAAGGCAACTGTAATTTCTCTGACTTTTAATATTATATTTACTAATCCTATATATTTAACAAATATGTCTGTTAGTCTACCTATTGTACAGCGCTATGGAACTTGTTGGTGCTTTATAAATAATAATAATAATAATATGATGAATGAAAAAAAAAATAGAGTACATTTTGAAAATACACTCCTTTTATTTTGCTTTATCCTGGAATTGAGTGCATCCATTTTGGCTGGCTGGCAGACATTATTATAATCTCTGCCCTTTACTTTCACCAAATTTAGCAAGTAAATGAGAAAAAGGCAAACTGCTCTGTTTCTCCTCCTCTAATGCAATGTGCCCTGTCTGTGTTGGACTGAGATGGATAGTGGTGTCATTTGCAAAATGTTTAATATGAGCATCACATGACATTTCATTTAGTTGTGTAATTTCCAGAGGTTCCCTATATATTCCATATATAAGGGGAAAAAAGAATTCAAGAAATTACAGGCCTGTGAGCTTAACACCTGTGGTTGTGAAATTATTTGAAAGGTTATTTCGGGATAACACTTAATTTTAAACTTGAATGAACAAGGGTTTATAAAGAAAATGTCATGTCAAACTAACTTAATTGTATTACATGGAGAAGTCACTGGAAGTATCAAACCAACAATTTGGCAGTTGATGTGATCTACAGTATTTGGGTTTGCCAAATATTTCCATATGGCAGTTATCAGAATACCTCAGGGTTCAATGGTGGGTCCACTTTTTTTAAATCTGGTTTAACAATCGTGAGGGGCACCATACATTAGATATCAACATTTGCAGGTGATACAAAACAAGGTAAAGTAATCCAGGGTATAACTAAACTCAGTATAGAGATATAGCTGTATATCTAGAGAAGATAGGTGAAAATAGCTTAGAGCATTGCAATACAAGCTGAGCAAATTATAGCCTCAATAATAATTTCTTGGTTTGCATTGTAATTTGTTTTTAGGTTATCTTGGTCCCTCTGGAAAGCTGCATTGGAAGAAACGCGTTGGACCAAGAGGTTTTACTGCTGCGCGAATAAATATCTTTTGCTACATTGATACATATCGTTGGAGTTGCTTTGAGAAACGGTATCATTGGGCTGTTGGCTGTGTGAGTGCTTTTTGCCCCCGCAAATAATCAGGGTAGGTACCCTTGCACCCTTCATTGCATCTACATCTTGTGAGCGCCTTTAACTTGCCCACGATATTTGATTTCAAACAATATCAAACTATTGTGTCTATTTCCTTCTGTCAATATATAGATGTATCCCCATATTGAGTTTGGTGATACATTTGGTTGGGTTGTGGACCTGACTGGTAAGATCTCTTGGGGAAGATGCTACCTATTTCCCATCATCGGGATTTATTATAAGCTAGCCGCTATTTAGTAGTTTGATACTGGCGGTAGGTGTGTTTTTAAAGTAATCCAGTCAGGATGTTATTTCTCTACAGAGAGATTTGAAAAAAATTAGAGGACTGGGCGAACAAATGAGAGATGAGTTTCAGTATATGGAATATACAGCGTCAGAAGAGGAGGAACGTACTCCTCACCGAAGTTGTATTGGGTTGTAGGGTATTGTGGGCATAACCCAATGTAAAGGAGAATAAGAAGGGCTGAGGAAGACTTACACAAAAAAAAACATAGAGGTTTTTAATATAAAGCAAAGAATTGCCTGAAATTGTAAAACCCAAAGAAAATTAATTTTATGTTACAACTTTATTGAGTCCCTAATTGGGTATACATATATAAGACAAAAATAAAGAAAAAAGGTGTGTGATTTGAAAAGTGAAAAAAAAAAAAGGACAAACGTGACTAAGTTAAAATAGGACCATACACTGTAGCCTATTGTAACAGGTTTGATTGTACCTGATACAATGTTGCTAAAAAAGTAGCCGATCTAACCACTAGTTGGATTGGATGTTTTGTCAGGGAGATGTGGTAAAAATTTAACTGAAGGTAATGGTATCCTATGCATACAGTTACAAATAAGCATCCTGATGTATGGATATCAAAGTAATAGGAGTTACCTAAAAGCGTCCGATGTATATATAAATCGCTTAGAGTAAGGAGATGGGTGTTGAGAGAAAAGTGCGGGCTTACTCTGTGCGGGCTGGGGCTGCAACACATGGCGGCTGGTACCTGGTCGCAGGGGTCACAGGGCTGCGACCCCCGTGACCGCGGTATGTACGCCAGTGCATGCAAATACACATACACTTAAAGGACCACTACAGACACCCGGATCACATCAGCTCAATGAAGTGGTCTGGGTGCCAGGTCCCTCTAGGTTTAACCCTGCAGCTGAAAACATAGCAGTTTCAGAGAAACTGCTATGTTTCACTGAGGGTTAATCCAGCCTCTAGTGGCTGTCTCATTGACAGTCGCTAGAGGAGCTTCCGCGATTATCACTGTGAAAATCACAGTGAGAAGACGCTGAACGTCCATAGGAAAGCATTGAGTAATGCTTTCCTATGGGTGGTTTGAATGGCCGTGCGGTTCTTGCCACGCATGCGCATTCTGAGCTGAGAGGCGGATCGGGGCGGAGAGATCTCCAGCCTCAAGGGAGTCCGGCGCTGGAGAAAGGTAAGTGCTTAAGACACACACACTCTCACGAACAGACGCATACACACTAGCTAACAGACACACACAATTACTGACAGACACACACTCAGTCACAGACATACATAAACACTCACTGACAGACAGACACACACTCACTCACTAACAAAACACACACTAACTAACAGACGCACACAAACTAACGCACTCAGTAACAGACACACACAGTAACACACTCACTGACATACTTTAACACTAACACACACACACACTAACATACACACTAACACACACTAACACACACACTTTAACACTAACACACACACACTCTAACACACACACACACACTCTAACACTAACACATACACTAACACTAACACACACACTAACACACACACACTAACACACACTCTAACACTAACACACACACTAACACACACACTAACACACACACACTAACACACATACACACTAACACACACACTAACACACTAACACACACACACTCACCTTTTAAAAAAAAATTTAATCCCCCAGCCTCCTTACCTGGGGTCCAGTGGTGTCACCCAGCAGGCAGGCTGGTGGGCGTGCGAGAGAGCACTCTCTCCTGAGTGTTTACTGTTCAGCTCCCTCGCGCGCCGCA